AACTATTTAGAAGAATGGTACTATAAAGAAAAGGCACAATGATGGTTGAAACAAATCTTCTTATTCATAAAAATTTTGATTTTTGAAAAATATTATTTCAATTACACAGTGAAAAATGTATTAAAACCTAATCATTTCTGCTAAACTGTTGAAGATAAACATAAGAAGTGTTACATATAGAAAAGGGGCTGGGTAATATTTAGAAATAAACCAGGCCTAATGAAATTAAAGTAACATTTTATAATTGTGGCCCCCAGGCATCAGCAAGCTCCAGATTAATTAATACTTCGTACATAGTGAAAAGAGAAAATAATTGACAAACTTTCCTCTAGAGGATTAGGAGCAAATTTAAAAAAATTTATAACCTGCAAGCTTTAAAATGCTAATGAATCAGATTATTAAAGAAAATACCACAAAACTTTGCATGTAAAATGAATAAAATTGAAGTCATACATATTTTTATGCTCTGTCTTTACACATTATAATAGTGCTGCATTGTATATAAAAATTAAGAGCAAATACTGAGTTTTTATTAAGAGCAAATACTGAGGTTCTATTCTATGGCATTAAATGTTTATTGACTTAATCTTCACAAACATTTTATTATATTTGACTGTTATTTTTGTTTTACAGCAGAGAAATTTGAGGCATAGATTAAGTAACTTGCTCCAAATCACACAGGTAGGGAGTGATATAAGTCATAGTCACGGCAGTTCCATGGCCTTGGTTAGAAGGGCTGTTCTGTGTGTCTTTTAAACAACGATCTTTCCTGCAAGCAGATGAATTGCAAAAGTATGAACGTCATGAACTGAATTGCATCTACCCAAATGGAGTCTCGAAGTGTGATGGTATTTGGGGATGGTGTTTTTGGGAAATAATTAGGTTTAGATGAGGTCATGAGGGTGGGTTTTCATAATGAGATTAGTGTCCCTATAAGGAGACACGTCAAAGTATGTATTCTCTCCCAACCCCTTACACTTTACCCCCACCACGTGAATGTGACCAACCTTCTATAAGCCAGTGAGAGAGACCTCACTAGAAACCAACCATGTTTGATCTCAGGCTTCCAGTCTCTAGAATTGCAAGAAATAAATTTCTGTTGTTTAAGCCACCCAGTCTATGGTATTCTATTGTGACAAGCCTAGGTGACTAATACAATGGATAAATTAAACAAGGGTGGCCCCTATGCCAGATGTATTCTAAAAGGGTCTCTTTCTGAAAAGAAAAATTATAACAAGGTTTCCTTTTTTTTGTAGGATGATACAGTTTTTTTGGTCCTGTTCAATGACTTGACCAAAACTACCTATGAATGGACTTTATTCCTGTTCAGGAATCCTCAAATGGGAGGTAGAACCTACACAATCCCAGCGGAGATCCTAATTATAACACTGGTAACCCCGTCTGAAGCAAAAGAGGTGAATCTAGTGTTACTAGGGAGAATTATTAGCATGATTTCATCTACCTTATATTTCATAATTAATAAATCACGTATCTTCCAGGACTTACTACCTAAATTGGTTCAAGTCCAATATTTTATCATCTTTTCCTATGTTCACTGCTGTATTTCAGGCAATCATCATCACTTGAACCATTCCCTGCATAAATGTCATAAATGGTTCATTGTAATTTATAGGGTAAAATTCAAGTTTGATAGCAAGATGTGGAAAACCCTTCTAACTTTCTCCCTGCACACATTTTTAGAATCTTGCAAAAGAGACATTGAACTCTGCTTGTTAAACACTCTGACTTTTGCGTATTGTGTCTTTTCTGTCTTGAATGCTCATGCATGTTCATGATTACGAAACACGTCTACTTGTACTACCCTCTGTATAATTCCACACCATTACAGAAAAGTTCAGTTCCTTCTCTGATGCTACAGTAGCCCCTGTTATAGACCTTACTACATCGTAAGATCCTTGTTTATATGCAATTCTCTTTCGTCTATCTGACTGTGACCCACCTGAAGGCAATAGCTACCTCTTGGTCAGAGTTGCATTATTAGCAACCAGATCAAAAGCTGTTTCTTAGTGTGCTCCAATAAATGCTTATTGATTTAATTAACTTCTTGATTCACATAATCATTGTTTGCTGTCTCTACACCAGACTCTATTTTTTATGCAGATAACATAACTATTCTGAAAATAATAATTTATAAGTTATTACAAATTAGCATAAAAAAATTGAATGATAGAACAAATGTAAGGTAAGGAATGATGAATCAAGAAGTCAGAGTGACATCACAGGCCCTAACAGTGAGTACTCTTTTGATTATTATCATCAACTTCAGATAATATAATTGAGACTTCTATCCCACAACTTGCCCCATACCGTATAGATTGAACATGGTGGGGACAAGTGTGAATCTAGAGCTCAAACTCCTTTTAAACTAAAATAAAGCAAATGAGGAGACACAGTAAAGAACTTACAAAAGGCATGTCTAGTGGACTCATAGTATATGAAGGAAGTGAAGACAAAGAAAAAAGGAAAATCTAATTTAGTGTGCTTGTTCTGTAACAGGCACTTTAAATACATTGACTCATTAACTTCTCATGCCAACAACATAAGGTAGAAAATTTTATTTTATGGATAAGACAAATAGTGAAGAAACAGGCTCAAGGTCACCCAACCCAAATAGCAAGGATGGAGGAAAGGAGCACAAAAATGTGAAATCTGCAGTGCATGCCAATTAATACATGCCCCCAACTCAAACACACACATTGTGCTAAATGCAAATCCTTAAGAAAGGACATTTCATAATTTATATTTCCAATTAAAGGTGAACTCCTATGACTGTATATTAACAAACAGTGTATTTTTTGAAGACTTCCCATTCCTTAGGTCATCTTCATCTGCAGTAATTGCTGTGCATTTCTCCACATCTCATTTTCCCCCTCTGCCCTCTCCTTTTCATCACCAAGGGTAAGTGGCTTTCATTTTAAACCTAAAGAACAATATTTAGATTTTAATGGTAAAATCAATTTTGTATGTGTAGAATTTACAACTTTTTAACAAAATAAAATGAAATAAAATCACTGGTGGCTCACACCTGTAATCCCAGCACTTTGGGAGGCCGAGGTGGGTGGATCACAAGGTCAGGAGTTGGAGAACAGCCTAGCCAACATAGTGAAACTAGCTGGGCATGGTGGCAGGTGCCTGTAATCACAGCTACTCAGGACGCTGAGGCAGGAGAATCACTTGAACCTGGGAGGCCAAGGTTGCAGTGACCCGAGATAACACTATTGCACTTCAGCTCGGGCAACAAAGCAAGACTCCATCTCAAAACAAAACAAAATAAAACAACAAAAAAAATCCCACATCTAAAAGTCTTGAGGCAAAACATCCACAAGTATCCATTAATCTATGTAAGCATACTCACTACATACCAGAGTTCCTATGTTCTTATATATGAAAAAATATATGTACTATATATAAACACCATACAAATATAGCTTAAACATTGTTTAAGTAAATGCATCACAGCAGTTTCTTTTGGATTCAATCTCACAAGTCTCTGAGCTATAGAACAGGTCTGTACAATGCAATGTGCTTCACAGTATCTTCCTTAGATCAACTGTATCAGTATCAACTGGGAGTTAGTTAGAAATGCAAATTTGGACCTTGTCGTAGTACTCCTAACTTAAAACTGGTGATGGAGAAAAGGAATCTGAGTTTCAGCAAGCCCTCCTCATAATTCTTATCCACTTGGAAATTAGAAAAGAACCACTATTGTGATATAATCTCAGAATTTCATGATGGCATAAGACCACAAAATACTATACATATTACTTTTAGAGGTAGGTCTAAACAACTTTATGTATACATCTAAGGCCCATGACAGAAGAAGGGGATTGGAGAGCTAGGCACTTAATCACAGACTGCCCACCTCTGACATAGATGTGTAATCTCCTTTGGTTAAAAGAGTACCTTCTGCTGTCTTAAACTCTTCAAGGTCGTTAACCTCAATACATTGATAAAATTACCAAATTATGCTTTCATTTTAAAAGATATTTGCTGTCCAAATATTGGCAGAAATTACTTTCCCCTAGTATTTTGGTGAGCATTTTAACCAAAAACTATGGCCTTTCCAACTTCAGACAATTTTTATTCTGTCATAACTGAAGGTTGCCTGCAGAAACACAGACCCTTATTTTAAGAACTAGGCTAAACCAATAAAAGTTAATCTACATGACAGCATTTTCTAGTTCAGATTATTAAAGTGAATGTATTATTTATGTAACACCCAATCAGACATTCTTTATTTTTTGCCAAGTAACTAGTCACTAAAAAAAATTTTTTTTAAAGAAAAAGAAAAGGAAAAGGGGAAGGGAAAGTCAGTGAAGTAGAGAAGATAATCCTTTGGGTTGAAAGAAACCCAACAAAGTACAAAATAATCCCAATTGTCATTACAGAACAAAAATATTTTATGTAAATTATGTGGTTGGATAAGATTGATGTTGTACAAAATCTGGGGGAGTAATGAGTGTGTGAGATTTCAGGCACTGTCATGTTGAATGGGATGAGAGAAATAAATTATATTCTGCTCTAATTATATCAAACTATTAGTTTATACTGAAATAATTTCAATGCCTTGAAAGAGTAATATTTTGATCTTTCCATGATATTTTATCTATTAGTTATAACTGAAAAAAAAGATTTGGGTTGCCAAAATTTAAACAGGGTTTGAAGTAGAATTTCATTAGAAATATAAAGGATTAGAAACTAGAGCAGTTCCTATGAATAATTTTGAGACATCAGTCTACTTAGTAGATGGAAGAGAATTGGGTGATAACTTCTACTTATGAAAACTTGTTTTGTGATTTGAGGTTATGCATTTATTTATGTATTTTTATCCCTATATATCTATCAATAAAATCATGAGCTGGTGAATACCACATCCAGAAAATGTTCTAGGTAACTTTATTAATAAAATTGATATCAATTGAAAGTATATCATTAATAATTGGAACATACGATTTACCAACAACATAAGTAATAGTTACCTTTACAAATGCAACAATTTTCAAGGAGATTGTTGCTAAATATAAGGAGTTCATTACAAAGTCCATTAGATTCCACCAATCATGGATGTAATCCTGAAGTCCACCATCCCACATTTGTTTAATTTCTCCCCATATGAAACCTGCAATTATAGAAAGATTCATTATTAGTATGATTTCAAAAGAAACACTAAAAAAAGCAACATACGATTTAACAATTATAGATCTTGAAGATGCAAGAGACCACATTGTTACACTAGAGGCAACATCTATTTTTATAGGTAATAATATTGAGTCCCAGCTGTATTTTAAGAGTTTCAGATACTATGCTAATTCTAGAAGATGTTGTTAGGGTAGCTTCATTTTCTTTAATCTATTTGATATATTCACAAGGATACATAGTTTTTGAATTATACTGTAACTCCTTTTTAACTATATACATCTCTTGGAAAATAACATTTTCTTAAAAGCAAATATCCTGACATGTATTTTTCTCCTAAGTCAAAATGACTCAAAGATCATGAAAAACAGTGCATCTAGCAATCAAAACTGGTTTCAGACAATGAGTGGAGTATCTTGTGTTTCTTTAAGCAATTTGTGCCTTCAGAGACCTGAATTTAGTCTTGAGAATAATGGTTATAGCATTTGCGATAATTAATTAAAAGACTTTATATGTAGCAATAGCTTTAAAGCGATATCCAGAAAAAATATATTTTTTACTTTTTAATAGGAAATGATTTATTTTCAAATTCTATGAAGAACTTATAAAATATCAGTATAGGTTATTATTTTCATGATCCTATTAAAATTTTATAATTCCATATTTACAGCCTAATGAGGAGGTATAAAAATATCTAGATTCGATAAATACTAAAAGGGTGACTATGACATCATAACTATGTTAACAAAAGCAAACGATGAGACTTCTTTAAGATAATAGTCTGAGACATAAAATGCAGAGTTGAAGATCTGCTGAGGACATAGAAAGTTGGAAAAGTATTATCCCCACATTGACTATAAAAATTTTAACTTTCCAAGCATGCATCAGGGAGACGACAAATCAAGGAATCCAAACTTTAGATATAAGCATGTTCCTCTAAAGGAACCATGCTGTGAACCTTGGCTCACCTGCGGCAGAGTACACAAGGAAGTGACACTGGCACCATCCAAGAAACTAGGCTGACTGTGAGGTAGCAGGAGAGACTAGGATCCCTGGGAGCCGCAGTTGCAAGGAAAAGTTTTACCCTCTTGTATGCGCTTCTTCATGGACCCTATCCACAGCTCAACAGAAATAATACAATTCAAGCCTGGGGGAGAAAAGAGGATGCTTCTATGGGAGAAGCACAGAGTCCTATCCGGGCTCCTCTCCCCTAAGGAGCAAAACTTTAGCCTTGTGGAAGAGATAGAAAGCACTCCCGGGGCTCACGTTTACAGCAATACCATTAGAGCAGGGGCAGAAAACTCTCTCCTGTACATAAGCTGTAATGTTTGACTGCCATGAAAAGAAAGGCATAGATCATGGGGAAAGCTTCATCCCCAGCACTCAGACATAGGCCTGCCTAAGTCCTCCTGGATGAGGACATCGGAGAGTTTTCCTGCCTCCGATCACTAGGTCAACAAACACCAGGTAACAATCAGAAGCTGACAACCCCTGGAGAAGGGCCTCTGAGGCACAGGTGTACAGGGAAGGTTGAAAGCTGTGGGTGGAGGAGGAACACTGAGAATAATCTTCTTTACCATCCTAGGCTGAGGTATATGATGCACTGAAACTGAATGTAGCAACAACAAAACCCACACGCAACTCAGCTCCTGACTGTATCGCCTCCAACCTCTACACTACCACAGAAGAGAAGAGGCATGTACATTTTCAGGCATAAAGGCTGTGTACTTCTGTTGCTCGTCTTCTGCATAGGTGGAATGAATAACTTTGCAAAACACACATACACATTAGTACCCACACTCACCAAACCATGATGCATCATATTCAAACCATCAAAAACAAAAGATAAAGAAAAAATATTGAAAGCAACCAAGAAAAAAAAAAGAGACATGGAAGAAAGGTAAGACTGACAGTAAACTTCTGGTATAAAAATATACAAGACAATGAAGTAATATCTTTAAAGTGCTGAAAGAAAAAAACTAAAAGTTAACCTAGAATTCTATATAGAGCAGAAATAGCTCTAATAAATACTTACAAAAGGCTTTTTCTTCAAACCATCAAAATCTGAGACAATTTACTGTTGTCAGACCCACACTGTAAGACATACTAAAGGGATATTTTTAAGGCAAAAGGTGTATAATATTGAACAGAAAGTTACATTTATTTTAAAAAAGGAAGATTTATGTCCAGAAATGTGTGTATATATGTATAATAAAATATATATATTTATTTTTATTAAAAAATTTTCTACCATATATTTACTGCCTAAGTAAAAACAGTAGCAATGTACTGTAGTTTTTAACATATGTAAAAGTAAAATGTATAATGATATTAGCAAAGAAGATGAGAGAGTGGAATTACAAGCCTGCCATCTTAGGTTCTTGCACTATACACAAAGCAGAATAATATTTTTTGAAGTTAGAATGTAATAAATTAATATTTTGTTATATTCTAACTTCAAAAAATATTACTCTTTTAAATATTTTTAAATATATGACTAGAAAGCCATATATGTAAACAGTAAGTGTTATACAAATATTTAATTCAATAACAGGCGAAAAGAAAAAATTGCAATGAAGAATAGATGGAATAAATAGGAAAGAACAATAGCAATAGGGATAGATTTCCAGTTTACCCATATCATAATTTTACTGAATGAAATGTATGATCTAAACACACTAATGAAAATACAGAGATGATCATACAGGAAAAAAGCACTAAAACAATAATTAAAAGAAAGCTCCTGTGACTACATTAATATAAAAGTAGATGCGTTTCAGAAGAAGCAATGTTACTAGGTATATAGAGGAATATAACATAAAGATGGAAAGTCCAATTTGCCGAGAAGATATAAAAATTCTATATCTGCGTACAGTTAATAAAATAGCCCTATACTACAAGATGCCATAACTATTAAAACTGAAATAAAAAACAAAGTACAACTATAATTGGAGGGTTCAGCATGCCTCTCTCTGTAACCAACAGAACCAGTAGACAGAAATTTAGTAATGATATAGAAGACCTGAACAATACCATCAGCAACATGACAACAGCAGAATGCACATTTCTTTTCATGTGCACAGGGAACATTCACCGAGACAGACCATAGTGTGGGCTGGAAAACAAATCTCAACACATTTATATTAGTTAAAATTGCTAAGTTTGTTCTATGACCACAACACAAATAAACAACAATCAGTAATTAAATGTATCTAGAAAATCCCCAAATATTTTTCAATTAAACAATATAGTTCCATTATCTTCCGGCTCAAACAGAAATTTATGAGACTAGTTAAAAAATATTTTAAAGTGATAGAAAATGAAGATACAACCAAAAACTCTTTGGGAGGCATCTAAAGCAGTGCTTAGAGGAAATGTATAGCTTCAAATGCTTTATTAAAGAAGAATAAGGGGTTCAAGTCAGTGATTTCACCTTCAATTAAGACACTGTAAAAAGAAGAGCAAGTTTAAACCAAAACAAGCAGAAAGAAGAAAATAACAAAGATAACAAAAAACAATAGAATCTGAAACATAAAATGAAAGAAAAATAAATGAAAACAAAATGTAATTTTTTGAAGTGTTTAATAAAATTGATAAAACACTAGCCAGAATGATTAACCAAAAAAAGATGATATAAATGATCAATATCAGAAATTAAAGAAGAAACATCAATACAGATCTTACAGATATTGTAAGAATAACGAGCAACTAGAATGAGTAACTGGATGGTCATACATTTCACAACTTAAATAAGCTTTTTTTCCCTGAGGCATAAACTTGCACACTCACTCAAGAGGACATAAAGCCACCTGAATAGTCCTATATTTATTAAAGAAAATGAATTTATAGTTAATGTCCCGCCAACAGCAACAAAAAAAATTCAGGTCTAGTTAATTTCATGGTGTGTTCAACCAAACATTTCAAGAAAAAGTAACACCAATGCTAATCAAACTCTCACAAAGATACAACAGTAAGAAACATTTAAGAGGCAAGTATTACCCTGATAAATAATCAGACAAAACTCTTTAAAACTACACACCAATAGCCCTTACGAATATGCACAAAAATCCTCAATAAATAGTAGTGAATAAAAGTTAGCAATATATGAAAAAAATAATAATAAATCATGACCAAGTAATGTTTTTTCCAGGGAATGAAAAGTTTCAATATTTAAAGTCGATCAGTGTCATTTATCCCATCAACAGATTTTTGAAAAAAATGTGATCATTTCAAGATGCAGTATAAGCATTTGACAAAATGTAACATCCATTCATAATAAAAACTTTCAGTAAAGTATGAATAAAAGGGAAAATTCTCAATTTGATAAAGGACATTAAAAAAATTTATAACTACTTGTTCTGTAAAGGAACACAGAACAAACAATGTAGGCTTTGTAATTAATAAATGGATATGACTGTGTTCCAGTGAAACTATTTAAAAAACTGGCAAACAGTCTGCTATCAGGACCATAGTTTGCTGCCTCCTGTGGTGGTGATTACATGACTGTATGTGTTTGTTAACATTTTATATCTCTGCACTCAGCTCCAAAGAGTTACTGTTATAACTTAATTTGAATGTAGCAAAATTTATGAAATTGATATTGAGAAATAAATATAGGAATACTTAAAAATAATTAAAAATATTATTTTAATACATTGCAGGTGATATATGAGTAATTATATATTTATTTTACATTTTCTGTGTGTTTGAAAATTTTCAAAATAAAAGCATAGTAGATATGATATTCTATCATTAATTAGTGAAAATTAATAATGACTAAAATTATCAGTAAAATTTTGTTTTTACATTTTGTTATGTTCACATTTATAACTCATATGAGAGCTGATTTCAGATGAATTAACTTATAGTGTATTTTTTTAAGTTGGCTGTAGAGAACTGTTTTATTCTAAATTTGGTATTTATATCCTAGTTTCCCCTTTTAGTCTTCTTTCATATTTAAATCTCTGTTGAGAGGTCAGATAG